GGTAGCCATACTTATACCAGGCAAAATAGACTTTAAACAAAGGCTATGACAAGAGACAAAGAAGGACCCAGTAATCCAACTTTGGGATATTTATCCAAAGAAACCCAAACGCTTCTTTGAGGGGATGTGTGCACCCATATGTTCATTGCAGCCTTGTTTACAATGGCCAAGATGTGGAGGTGGCCTGGGTGTCAGTCGATAGAAGAATGGATAAAGAGGAGATGGTACATATGTACAATGGAATATTGCTTAGCCATGGAAAAGAATGGGTTCTTTCTATCTGTGGTGGCATGAAAGGACCTGGAGGGTACTGTGATAAGTGGAGTATATCAGAAAGAAAAAGACAGATGCAATGTGATTTCACTTATATGTGGAAACTAAAGCACAAAACAAACAAAACAGAAATAGATACAGAAAACATTGTGATGGCTACCAGATGGGAGGGGGGTTGGAGGTGACTGAGAAAGGGGAAGGGATTAAGAAGTATAAATTGGTTGTTACACAGTAATCATGGGCATATGAGGTACAGCATAAGGAATATAGTCAACAATATTATAATAAATATGCACGAGTATGGTATCAGATGATACTAGACTTATCTGGGTGATAGAAGGGAGAGAGTTTGGGGGGCAGGGTGAAAAAGGTGAAGGGATTAAGAAGTACAAGCTGGTAGTTACAAAACAGTCATAGGATGTAAAGTAAAGCAGAGAGTATATAGTCAATAATATGGTGATAACCATGCATAGTGCCAGATGGGTGCTAGACTAGTCAGGGGGAAATCTCTTCTTAAATTATATAAATGTCTAACCACTATGCTGTAATGCCTGAAATTAATATAAAACAATACTGAATATCAAAATAAATAAGTAAATAAATAAACAAAAAGGAAAGAAGTTCAAAGACCGACACTTGGGGGATGGCAACATTGAGCTTGAGGAAAAGAGATAAAATCAGAAAAGGAGTTTAAGAAGTAAGGTCAGAGGAAAACAAGAGAGTGTGGAATCCTGTTAGAAAGTGTTTTATGGAGGAAAGAGTGACAAACTTGAGGTCTGAAAATAATCCAAACATCCTTCAACTGAGGGATGGATAAAAAAAATAGGGTGTGTCCATACAGTGGAATACTACTCAGCAATATAAAGCGACAAACTACTGATACATGCCACGAAATGGATGTACTTTAAAAATCATTAAATTAAATAAAATAAGCCAAATACACACACACACACACACACACACACACACACACACACACACACACACACAAAGACTGCACATTATGATTTCATTAAAATGAAATTTCTAGAAAAGGAAAAAGTATAGAGACAGAAAAGAGATCAGTATTTGCATGGAAAATGGTAGAAAGCCTTGGTGAAATAATGGAAAATTTCTCAGACTAGATATTCATGACAGTGGCTTAGCTGCATAAATTTCCTGAAACCCATTGAACTGTACCCTTAAAATGGGTTAATTTTCTGGGATATAAATTTCACCTCAATAAATCTGTTAAAATGAGAGAGAAAGGAAAAAAAATGAGCAACAGAAAGACACAACAGAGAGAATTAGAGGGGTGAAATTGGGTAGTGTGCACAAAGCTTTTGAAGAGTTTTACCATGAAGTGGAGCAGAAAAAATGAGGTAATATCTGAAAGTGTACATGAGTCCAGAGAATTTTGCTTTGTTTGGTTTTAGATGGGGGCAGGATTAGTATGGCTCCATGCTGTTGAGAAAGATCCAGAAGAGAGTAAATAATCTCTGTTAAAGATGCAGAAGAGAGAAGAGAGAATTACTGAAGTGATTTCTTTAAGTAGACAAAACCAAACAACACAAAACAAACAAATAACACTATAGTGCTAAGAATTGGACTTAGAAACACCACGATGCATCCAAACTAATACAGGGAATTTAGCGTGTGTCAATACAGAAGCTAGTGAGTGTGTGATTTGGTGATGAAGGCTTGTATACATCTTCTTCTTCTAATTGCTTTCCTTTTCACAGTGAAATTGTTATCAGATGAGAGTGAAGGAGGTAGAAAAATTGAAGGATGGGAGACACATTGTGGATTTCACAAAATTACAGGAAAAGGACTAGGTGGGTTTTTCTCTTTAATTTCTAGTCAGTATGAAAGTGCACTTAAAATACATAGTTTGGATTTTAAATTCAGATCAGTCTGCATAATTATATTTTCAAAATCATATTAAGCTGAGTAGGTTCAGACATGCAGTAGGCTGAATGAATGTTGGATTTACATCAGGATTAATGGTTGCCAACTGTCTTGTCAGTGTGTTGAAGCAAAAGAGGGATGAAGGAATTGAGGCCGTATGCAAGAAAATAATAGCAATTGATGGAGAAATGTGAGAATCAAAGGAGGGTAAATAAATAGGGTGAAAAGGAGGTAGAGTCAATGATTTATAGGTTTCTGTGAGTTTAAAGGATTTCTGGAGTCAGAGTACTAGGAGTGAGCAGAAGATAGATGTTAGAGAACAGGATGCTTGCAAATGCAGTACTGAAGAGATTGTAGCTGTTGGTAATAACAGCTCACTCAAGTGGCCGAGGTTAGTTGTAAAACAAGACCATTGAAATGGAGAAATATAAGAAACCAAGAGGACAGGGTGGTGTAAGGGACCTACTGAAATTACCATCTATTAAGACTGGAGTAGTATTGAAGAAACTTACAGTTGCCCAGAAGGTAAAATCTTCAGGAAATAAAGGGGCATGAGCTGGGAGTGTAACGGCTGACAGGAGAAGTGTAGAGTCTGATGGCTTGAAATTCAAAACTGAGGGTTTGTAAGGCAGAAGAACAGAGTATGGGCAATGAGGAGAAAGGAGGATAAGTGCTCCAAACTCACACTGAATGGTACATATAATCCAAGAGACTAAACAACCATAACTTTAAAGGGCTGCACGGGAAGCCATGTCTTCAAGGGACATGCAAATTTCTGTTGGAGCCAGAATATAAAAGGAATGTTCAACAAAGAAGCTAAAGATATATAGGATTTGGCTGATCAGGGACAACTACCCATCTGGCAAGTGTTAGACATTGACCTGGACGCTAAGCTACTTCTTTTATATGGGGCCATGCATGTGTTCCCTAAAACTCTGTTGTGCTAACACTGTTTGAGTTGATAATTTGACAACACTCCAGAATGAATATGTAGTAGCATATAACCTCTCCTACATCTTAAATTATATAATCAGCCTAATATTTCTTATCTCCTACATCTTAAATTATATAATCAGCCTAATATTTCTTATGACATAGATACAATAACAATTTTACTCTTATTTATCTCCATCAAAGATCACATTTTTATTTAATCAATTATTAATACGTATTCTTATCTCAAGTTTATAATTTATTATACCATTCCTTTCCCATTAGAAATCTTCTCTGCAGAGATTTCTTTGCCAATGGGATCATTTGTGTGTAATCTTGTAGTTTTATTTCCTATATCATCCTCTCCCATTTCACTTTTTTTACACATGTTCCAATAGCCTTGCTATAACTCAGAGAATCTTGCTTTCTTTCCCACAGGGGTCATTTCGTGTTGTTAACTCCTGTAAGTTTGCTGAATACATGCATTGTTTATAGAGCTTCTTGCTTTCTCCTCCTGCTCCTCTTCCTCCTCCTTCTTGGCCCTAACAATTATTCATGTAACACTGCTCTCCAAAAAAAAAAAATCTGTCTCATAACCCATTAGACTTAACATATATTAATGATACAGGATTCTCCTAAGCCTGTTAAAATGTTTTGTCTTATCCATAACAAAAAAAGTTAAAGCACATGTTGCTTTGAAAAAATTTTGATCTCAAATCACATGTATGTATGATGAGATATGTTTACTGTAGGATCCCCAAACTGATCACAGAAGTATCGGAGTGACTGAATAGACATATAGGAATTAGGTACAACTCAGAAATTATTCCTAATAGTGATTTTGAAACTCAAATTTTTTTCAAAAATACTTCCTTGTTGAAATGTAGTATGATTTTCTTTCATTTAAAAAAACAAGCTAAGAGGGTCAGGTAAAGCTGAGACACTCAGAAAATTGAACGAGGTTCTGTTATAATTTTTGATAAAAATTACCTATGATGGAACAAAATTCGGCCCCTTTACTACACTAATAGAACAACCTAGACATAAGTATGGCTTTCACACTAAACAGAAAGAAGAAAAACTTATTAAGATTCCAGGACCCTGAATTCTGTTTTCAGTTGTTAAGTCTAAAGTCATCATTATATCTCAGATGGAAATAGACATCATTGATATTCTCTCTCTCTCTCTCTCTCTCTCTCTCTCTCTCTCTGTAATTGATGCTGGCCACTTTTAAATTGTATTATAGGAAAACTATACTGATGTACAAAAATGTACTAATTTGAAATTATAGGACTCAAACAAAATGAGTATAACTAGCTTTGAGCTGACAAAAGGGAATGTAATTAATCTGAGCAGTTTACTATTATGTGACTCCGAATCCCATGAAATACTTACCTATTACCATGACTTTCACAAGAACTCAAGTCGCCAAAATATAATAATTATAGTTTTCTTTTTAAACTCAAAAAATATTTCTCAGCACTTTTTGCTTCAGTGTGATAAACACTGTAAACAACCCAGTTCCCAGCTTATCTTCTGAAATAAGATGCATGCTGCTCTTCAGTTAACTCAACTCTGACACTCCCAATAATTTTGAAAGGTTCTTACTCTTGCAGCTTATCCTTTTCCTTGTGCTCCAGGCAATCTCTTCCTTGCTGGTGGCAGGCACAGACATAAGCATGACACTCAAAAGTTAAATAAAATAAAACCATCTTATCATAGGAGCTCAGTCTTTTGTCCAGTGGTATTTGGAGTATGGGATCTTTAATTTCATATCTAGTACTCTGATACATTTCATGACAACCATGCACATTTCACCTGGAGTGTTTCCCAGTCAAAACACTGTCTAAAAGAACGAGCATACAGTAAAAGACAGCAGCAGCAATATAGAATGGATCCTACTGTACCTGGAGAATGAGGCGGAGGAGAGCACATCAGAACAACCCCCTGGCCTTCCCTCACAGAGACTGCACTTCTTGTCCGGCCACTAAAATTTCCCAGATCTGTCAACATAACACAGCATTTAGATGCAAGGCAAAAAGGAGTTTAAAGAATTACTACGTTTGTAACTTGTACTTACTTTTCTCTCATTATCTAGACAAGGTTTCTTTTTGTTTGTTAAGTAGAGATAGGGGAGGCCTTAAAAAAAAATCTATACCATGCAATTTTAAATACCACTGTTTTCAGATTATATGGACACTACAGTGCATACAAGTTGCCAGTGTAGGAAGAAATTAGACAGTACATTTATAACACATGAAGTTGTTCTTTTATTTCATTATAATATTTCTTACATATTGATTTTTCTACTACTAATAAAACCAATTCATGCAGAGTGAGATGGGACATAGAAGTGGTTAGGGGTACCTGGTGGCCAACTTGCTGCTTCATTATATGTCGTGCTAAGAATGGTGTGTAAAACCAAACAAGCATTTGTCAATTAGAGAGACTTCTGTGCTCTTACAAAATATAAAGAGGATATAAAGTGTGGTTTTTTTCTATAAAAGTGAGTGGAAAAGTCATGTTACTTTTATCTAATAGAAACCTGGGATGGATTGTGCATTAATTATACTCAACCATTTTGATTACTCTGGGAGTATTACAGCTATAAAAATACTCCTGTATAGGAAGGATTATAGCACTGATTGGGGTTCAATTGTCTTCCCTTAAATTATGCTACATTTGCATGATTTGAAAATACTTTCCTAAAAATAAAGTGGTCTAAAAAAGAAGTATGTGTGTTATTTGTAATTCTAGTATTGATTATTAATTTATAGCTCAGTACCTAAGTCCCTGTCTCTTTGCTTGGCTAGGCTGATCAGACATGATTTTTAGAATAGTTTCTTAGAAATAGCAGGTCAATATTTTTATAAATAAACATTGTCCCAGAATTTTCTCTGTAAAATCATGTCCCCATGGTGAGAAATGCTTCTTGAAAATGTTCTGCCTTTCCTTCCATTATTCATCAATTGTAAAAGAGATTTTTTTGAAACTTTTCATTATTTCATGCTAAAATAGCATGTTTTGTAGTAATACAATGTAGACCCTCAAATTTAATGTTTGTTAATTTGAGCAAATGATGAAAGTAAGCAGTCAAGAAAATATAATGAATAGATATAAAGGAGATAAATCATTAACTTTAATATCCTAAGAAGGATTCTATACCTTACTTTTTAGAGAGATGGGTAACAATTTATTTATTTGCTGAATTTACAATAAAATCTTCTTAAACATATTCAAAATCATGAAAACCAATAAACAGTAGAGGCATAATGACAAATCAACAAAGAGATATTCATTATTGAAGTAAGTGTTTACGATTGTACACATAACTCTGTTTCATTGTAAATAGTTAAGTGGTTCATAAAGTGACAAGACAAGAGAGAAAGAATTGTCCTAGCTCTATGTGTTTTGGTGGGGTTTTTTTTGGTGGTTTGAAAACATACACATTAACGTATAGAAAAATCAAGTTCATTCATTTTCAAGTATATACGTATGACTCACGACTTTAAATTCCTATGCATTGATCCTAAGGAAAGCTATCCTTTTTCCAATAAAAGATCTCAATATGAAAAAAAAAAAAAGCATGGCAGGGTTTCTTATCTGGTTTCCTTTGACTCTACTCCTAAAAGCACAGGAACCATATAGTGAGACAGTGGTTGCAGTAGGGCTGTGATATCTCTTTAGTGCACATATGGTTTTACTTCCCCGTTTATCCTCATTGAATTTATAAACCCTGGAAAGCTTTTTGAATGTTAATTTTTTATTAGTTTCAGGTGTACAAAACAACATAATAGACATTTACACCCCTCACAAAGTGATAACTACCCCCAGTTTACTACCCCTCTGACGTCGTATATGCTGTTATAACAACATTGACTCTATTCCCTGAGCTTGGATATTAATTTATTTTAACTGAATTTCTTAAATGGTTTCTGAAAAGTATATATGTAGCTTCTAATCTATTTACTACAAGTTTGTATTATGCTTACTTATGACATTTGAAATCAACCTATTGGAGTTAAAACAATATTTTAATAGGAAATAATACTAAATCAATGCCTATTTCTGAGAAATTGAAGTGCAGGCATGACCTAGAAAGTAGACATAAAAAAATTACAGAATAATTATGACCTGAATTTTGTTTTGAGGTCACAATGACCCAAAAGATAACATACTCAGCTGTAATTGTTTTGTATCAGCTGCTAATACAAGTATAATCAACATTTCCTCATGGAATCATCTGTTGTTATTTTCTATATTATAGCACCAGCAGTACAAAGATAAATGGGTTTCTTTCAAATGTGAATAGATCATTTTTTTCTTTCATAAAGTCATGTAAATTCTAAAGAGAAGTCTGGACTTTGATGGAAAGTGTATTTTTCTCATTCAAATCCTTCTGCCTGGAAAAAAAAAAAGCGAAACATTTTTAAAATGTGAAAGTGGTCCATGTGTCACACCAGATTCTGGGTGAGCTGAGGCAGAATTATTTGTGAGAATTTCTTGGTTGGAGTGGGGATGGCAAGTAGGGAGAGTCTCAGTGAAAATATAGCTGGTTGTTTTGATCTCATTGTGAACAGAAAGCAGTTTCTTTGGAGTTCTCTGATGAAAAGTTCATCAGAGAACTTAGTTTGAGTGCTTATCACATTACTTTTAATAGGTTACACATTCTAATATATCAAGGAGAGAACTAAAATATAAGAACAAGAACTCTGATGGATGGGGCTTTGGTTATTTTACTGCTACTCACACAAGGTAAAAAAATATTTGTTTATATGTTCTGTTTTTTACCTTTGAGGGAAAAAAGAGTGAAAAAAAAACCTTAAACAAGGACTTCAAAATTCACGTTTATATGATGAACTGAAACAAACCTCTTCCTGGACATACTAGAAAGCACATGGACAAATAGATAAGCAATAGACTGGAGGAGAAAGTTTGTGGTCAAGGAATACAGGGCCCCAGGCCTTGTCTCCTTTCATCTTTTTCCAAGTTCAGAATCTCATGCAGAGCAATAGTGGAGCTTTAATTAGAACTGCAGCTTACAGAATTATTACACCTATTCATCCTAGATGAACCATGCAAAGAAAAAGAGGTATACAAGAAATGATGTAACTAAGAGCCTCGCATGACAGAATGTAGATTTAGGCTGTGTGATGTGAAGCATGATGACAAGTATAAGACAAATTTCATCAATTCATTTAACAAAATTTCATCAGTGTAAACTGCACATTGAACACTAAGTTAGGTACTGGTGGTACACAAGAGCTGTAAAGAAACGATGTAGACATATGAACTAATCATACCCAGTTGGGCCACCTGTCTGCAGACCTAGCTCAGAGGAATTTGTGTCACCACATAGATGCATGAGCCCAAACCATCGTAGTTTCAACTTGTCACAGCCATACTAATAAGTTACCAGTACATACCATGTTCATTTATCATGTACTACTTCATGCTATTCCCCTGAATATGAGTTGCTAACACATGTACACCAACACACCATACACACACACACACACACACACACACACACACACACACACACGCGCGAGCGCGCGAGCGCTCTCTCTCTCTTAGATTCCTCCCTTCCTTCCTTTCTTCCTTCCTTCCTTCCTGCCTTCCTTCCTTCCTTCCTTCCTTCCTCCTTCCTTCCTTCCTTCCTTCCTTCCTTCCTTCCTTCCTTCCTTCCTTCCTTCCTTCCTTTTCTGCCTTCCTTCTGCCTTCCCTCCTTTCTCTCTTCCTGCCTGATTCCTTTCTTTGCTTTTCTTACCTACATTATTCCACAAAGGATGAGGCAGCTTAAAAATATATATGTATGACTATAACACAAAAAGATAAACACGTATAGACAAATTCCAGGTGAAGGCAAAATGGGAGTGTTAAGAATCCTGTAGGATAAGAAACATTTAAGAATATATGTTGTATACATTTGCAAATTATTAGAAGTTGACTATAAATTTGATGATAAACTTATAAGGGACAAAACAAAGATGGATATGTCCCAGTCTTAGGATTCATGGTTATGGTAAGTTCAAAACTTTCAGTAACTCTGAAGAAGTGCGGTGTTGCTGGATATTAAGGTCTAAGGAGTTTCTTGGCAAGACTTCATAAAGATCATGGTGGGTGGTATAGCGGGCTGAGCAACTTTGCAAACCAACTAGGAAGGTTTTACACCCACTGAAATACCTTAACTAGTTTCAGTGTGAGAAGCACACACACACACACACACACACACACACACACACAAATAAAATATTTCAAAAACCACTCACTAGAGAGGTGAAATTTCGAAGTGTTGGAGAGAGAGAGGCTGCAGGAAACTGGCAAGAAGGAAATGCATAAGGGGTGGGTTCTGGAAACTGATCTTTTGATGGTAGGTATTTTAAATACAATGGATTCATTAGTTACTGGGAAAAGGGTCAAGGCAAGAAGATAAATGTCATACAATTAGGAATAATGTGCTGAGGTTCATCTGTCTCCTGAGCTTTAATTTCCTAGTCCTAAATCTGTTCTGAATAAGTGGCAATGTTTGGCTTATGGGAGTTGTGAGTTTGGGAGAAGGAATGGGAATGGAGTGCCCATTTTTAATTGCACTTGGTCATAGATTCATTCTGGGAGGTGGTGCTAGTCAGTTTTACTGTCAATGCTCCAGGCATTCTCAATTAATTCTCTAATGTCAAAAGTTCTGTGAATGCAGAGAGAATTCATTATGAATTCTAAACTTCATAAAATTGAGTTTGAATTTTTATGTAAAACCATCGGCAAAGGCAAATCGCTTTAGACAAGGTGTCAGAGACTTGAGTTTTATTAATTACTAACATCTTGGTATCAGATTCATTTGTAAGATTGTAAGACTGAGGAACTGAGAGGGGTGCTCTTTCTGAGGGGTCTCATGGCTTTCACTTTTATGATTCCTATAAAAGCAACTGACAGGTTTTCGAATATTGGCTTGGTGCTTGCTGCTTCACATGCAAAGTGATTGCATATTGAAGTCTTTTGTCAC